AAGGAGTCCCCCTTCCCTCACAGTTTGTAGGTTTCTTTGTATTGAAGGTAGAAATACTTCTGTGCATCCTCGATAGTGCAGATTTATTTTAGGATGAGACATACATGAAATGCTTACCCTACTGAGATGGATTCCAGATATCAGAGTGGAGGATAGACCCCGCCCAACACGCCAATTTAAAAGATGATAAAGCCCATTGTGGCACGGCCATTATAAGTTTTTAAACCCTGTCATATTTTCTTTCCAGGCTTTTTTTTTTTTTTTTTTAAATATGGGAGAGCTACAAAAGCCAACTTTAAAATTACTTTCTAGGACCAACGCTTTTCCTAGCCAAGATTTAGCCATTAGGTGGTGCTTGAAGTTGCTAGAAAGCTTATGAAGCCAATTGAACCTGTTGACAGGTTTTATTATACTTAAATTATGTGGATAAACTTATTGAGCCATTACAAATGCTTCCTAAGGACAACACACATTTAATTACTTTTATTGGATGGAAGCATTTCCAAGGACAGAACAAAAACATTTATTAGCAGTAGTGGATCTTCTGCAACATTCTAGTGTCCAAAATGATTGAACCCTCCGAACCCCTGACCAACTCTGCCGTAAAAGTTATTTAGTAATAAGCATTTATTTTCCCCCTTTTTAAGAGGAATCACTTTTAAAGAATTCATTGCAGGCGACAGTCAGCGCAGCGACCAGACCAACAAACTCCTGGAAGTCCACCACACCATCCTTATTGTCATCCAGTTCACGCATAATCTTCTCCACCACGCAAGCATCATTGGGGCCCTAAAAGGGGAGCAACAAGTTTAGTTTCCCCAAGTGCAAATCTTGATGGAGCTGGTCGTCTTTAATTTGCATAGTCTGGAAATAACTTCTACTTTAGACAGAGGCATGTTCTCCTCATTTGCCCAGGTATCAACTTGTTGGCCAACATTATAGAGTTAAAAAAAGCAAATAAAATACTTTTTCCTCAAAATATAGCTGAAACTGAGAACCCATCAGGTTCTTTTGGAAATTACCATGGTGATTTACCTTTGTTAAAACTTAAAATACATTAAAATTATACATTATTCAGGTCAGCTTCAGAAGGAGAAAAAAAAAAATTGATTAAGCAACAGATACTTACTTCCAGAAACTCTCCAAGTTCATTCTTCAACAAATTCTTCAGCTCCAATTTAGTGAGCGTGTACTTGTCACCTTCTTTTCCAGAATACTTGTGGAACACATCAATGAGGTCCACCATTGCTCCTTTCAGATTGGCACTCATTTTGCAGTTCTAAAAATCAGAAAGGGAAGGATAAATTAACCACAAAAGAGATTTATTCCAAACATGGAATATGCCATTTAGATTTAGAGCAGGGTGACCAGCATCATTTGATATACAGATACAAAGAGGGACTAAAAGTCATTCAGTTTCTATAAAAGCTTAAGAGAAACCTTTCATTACAATTGTTTTAATACACTGGCACACAGATTGGGATGATTCTAGCAAAACCAAATTAGAAAAGGAATGAGGATGCAAAACTGTTTCACACACTTACCATGTAATCATAGAACAACTCAGGTTACATGACAGTGTTTCACTTCCCTCCCTGCATTTTTATTTCTCAATGACAGAAAGATTGGCGCTGATGGTGGTATGGACAGTTTTTGGCAGAGCATGGCTTACGGTTATTTGTACAGTGGACTATAGCCAGAATCAGATTACATTTTGTAGATTAAAGGGCAAGTACTCAAACCAGTAGCAAGCTGGACTCACCGAGTAACTCTCACACTCACACACACACACACACACACACTTAAATAATAATTAAAAACAAAACAAGGTAAAACACACGCGATGAGGGACCACTTCTTGGTTAGGCGTGTTGATTCTATACAATATGGCACTGCTGGGGAAGCATGTTGTCTCATGAAACAAATATATTTCAATTGCTGAAGCCTGCTAATAATGGTGCCAAACAGAATACATAGAGGAGAATGCAGCATGGTAACCAGACAGGTCTAGTGTCTAACCTTATACCAGCCTTTCACTATCAGACACCTGAGAAGCCTATACAAGAGAGCAGTTTCATTTCACACACCCCTCCTCACAAACCAGTAGAAGACAAAAGCCAGACCCCCTCCAGGACAGGTCGCACATACAGTAAGATAAGTATAGATTTTGCTCTTGGTTGCATTACATTACATGAACAGCCTTTAACCTCAGATTAATTTTAGAGTATGGTCTTATTTCCATCATCAAAACTATTAGATGATAGTTTAGCCTATATGAAGAGCAACATGTATCTCATGATCTATAGCGTATGTGAGAGATTGTGTGAATATCTACAGTTTTCAAAATCACTTCTCCAAATGATGTGGCATCAGATTCCCCTAATTATTCTCAATTATTGCTGTTAATCATTTATTCCCAGCGTGATCAGGGAGCTAATTAAGTCTTTGAATGTCAAATGAGAAGCTGGTGTTAATTAACTGCGACTCCAACTACAGCACAAGTAGTTCTACAAAAAAATAAATAAAAATCCTTCACACTACCACTGCACATCAAAACAATGGAGGAAAAAGAAAAGCAAAAGATCAGTAACTCACCTGGACAGTGACACCTAACCGGTTCTGTTGAAAGTAGATCAAATTGAGCTCTCACCACAGCTCTCACCTCATTACTTATAGCGACTCTCACCTGTGTGCAAATGAACCTTAATCAGATAGGCACCTCCCTCTGAACGGCATCATCAGCGCTTTCACCATTGAACTGGATTGCCATTAAAGGCAACAACCTCAGCTCTTAGAACTTTGCAGGACAAACACCACTCACTCTTTTTCCTAACCTTATATAGTTATGTTGCAACAGGGATTAGTTACAAATTAAGTAGATACTCAGATGGTTAGTGAGGGTACATGTGTTTATATGTAATTCAGGGTATGCTACATTATATATACCAGTTATGTATTAATGTTGCATTAGAAGCACAAATATTACTCGAGTGCAACTTGAAAAATCTATAGAAAAGGTTTTTCAATTTCCATTTTAAAGTGCCTACAAATATCCCTGATTTCAGCCTAAAAGCTGAAAATTTGTTAATCTGAAACAACCAAAATTAAAATCAGCAACATAAAGAATAAAGCAAATTGGCCGAAGTATTCCTCCTCTTTTCCTCTCCGAGGTCTTGTGTAAGCTTATCAAGCATGACTAATGCTTTTTTAAATATCATTTGCAAGTCAGATATTGATTGTATTTGAATGACAGCTCGACTTTTGCAGAAATACAAATTAAATGCGGGTCAGGTTGTTAAGAGTTGATTTGCATCAGTATCTCCTGGTAGCCTGTGTAATGCCAATGCTTTTTGCATGCTAGTTAAAAATTTACCAAACCGACTTGCATTTGGTATCTACAGCAACAGTTTTTTAAAAAATGTCCTCTCTGGTCTGAGACAGCAGGTGAGACCAGACTGGCCTTTTATTTTTGGTGTGAGGAACATACTTGGAGATTAAACACATTGTCGATTACTCATAAAAGCTGTTCTAAACAATGTGCCTATAGTGATCACTCTTTTGCCAAATGAAACTATATATGTTTTTATTCATTCATTTCAACATCTGCACAGTATGAATTATGAATGACCAGCATTATACAAGACATTAAAATAAGGCACTGCATTATTTTAGAGAATGTATAATATGACTCTTCATGAAAAACAAACATGTCCTTCATTTGCGGTTTAATACAAAAACACTTGAAGTCTATAGACTGCATGTTAACATTACTTATACACATATGCAGAGGGAAGTAAAATATATGAGCTTACTCCCAGTTAAAAAAAAACTGGTAAATGGGTGCACATCACACCTTAGCTGTGTGGTGTCACATTTCTGCCTAAGTTCAAGGGTGTCATCTACTGGCCATTTTCAAAGTTTGTTATTGCCCACATATGTAAGTAAGCAAGGCTGCACACTTACCATTAATAGCAAAACCCATATCAGTTAAGTCATTTTTAAAATAAAAGTTAAATTAATTAAAAAAAAAACAGTTTTAAAAAAGTTAAATTTAAAATGGCCCAACATGAATCAAGTCAGAGCACAGCAAAAAGAAATAACGCTGCTTTTTTTTTTTTTTTTAATCAAAGTATTACATTACTGAATCCAAATGATTAAAAATAGTAGTAAGGTAGACATAATGACTCAATATTTAGAACAAAAACCTTCCATCACAAACAATACGTAACAAACGTACATTCACATTTATCAACTGGCAAAACCATTTTTGTCATTTTTTCTTAATCATACAACAGCTTTTATTTTATTTAAAGCATGTGTAAAGACAACTAAATCTAACTTCATTCAGGCACTGGACATGTATCTGCTATCTGTCTGTATAACTCATTCTAATTCCCTTAGTTATATTATACCTGGTGACAATGATAACACTGAAAACTGAACAAATATTTGATAAACATTAGCTATTATATGAAACAGTGATTCATAGAGGACCCAATGACAGTATGACATGCGTCAAGTGAGCAATCTCTGTGAGTGTGCTTTTGCAATGTATGCCAACAGCAAAGCTAATAGTAACTCATGAGGGATGGCTTTAGGAATAAACAAACAGCAAGCACACAAGTTCAGACTGACATTTGGCAGTAACTTAAATTGGTGACTACCTGTGTGCAGTATTCACTAAAATAGGAATAGTATTCAGCTTGAAACACATTGAATATTACACTGAAAACTTCAAAATGACTAGTGCTGATACAAACACTGATTGATGGAGCATTATCATTCTCCAGTTTCTAAGCTTTTGCTCTACAACTTGATATCGCTTGTATTGTTACTATGTGGTTTCATTTGACTCGGCTTGATCTGAGTTTGAACATTCATGATCTCATACCTCTGAGGGCCAAGAATGTAACAGTGCACAGTCCTTTCACAGTGTGGCACCTGTCACCATGGTTTGCTGGGACCTTGCTTGTTATCCAGAGTGCAACATGGGAGTTCTCATGTGAGCCGGCCTTTCAGCGCCTGTCAGCAGGGCACCTGGCCTGAGACACTGAGGGAAAGTGAAGCAGAGGCCATCAGCTCAGCTGTCAGGGATGACATGACAGACTGCCTTGGGCAGACAGATTGTTGGGCAGGGGTTGTTTGTTTTTCTTTGTTATCACAATGAGATGCTGTATTTTGCTCCCTTGTTGGCATAGCCTAAACAAAAAGGTTACTTGAGGGGAGGTCTTTACTGAGAAAATACTGAGAAAGGCATTTGTTTAATAGTTCTTTTTAATTTAATGGCTAAAATGCCACCAGTGGTATTTGATTTAATGGCTCTTCATTTGCTTCGTTTGTGGGTTCTGCTTCTTTTTCCACAGTCATCTTATCTTCTTCTGGCACCCTTTCCTCAATAGGGGGACCAATCACAGATATTCTTCCCGCAGATAGGGTTCTTCTCTTAACACTGTTTGCCCGCTCTTGGGTTGTTGGCTTTCCCAGGACACTCCTCAGCTGTGCCCAGAAAAATGCCTGCTGGTTAACCTGCTGGGGCCACTCCAGGTATGTCTTTGTACTCAGCATCTTCTTGAGCTTGCAATACTTGCTGGGTAAGGAGTTTGGATCAATAGGCTCCTTAACCACTAAGATGACATCACTGAAGGTTTTTCCCATTGCTCTCTGCTGAGCAAAGTACAGCTCATAGTTGCACCACTCACTGTTAACGAAGTGCCGTGAGAGAATAAACATTACCTAGGAATAAAGAAAACAACAGAAAGGAAATTATTATAGGTTCTCTACCTTACGCTTTCCTACCAATTTCCAAACAACAATGATGAGATGCTGTAGTTCTCAACCATTTAGCATAACTCATATCACCATTACTTACTTTTTTAGACTTTTAAGACTCGGTATTCCAACAGTCAACAAATTGTCAGGCAAGTTTTGAGATGATGTTTTCATCATTTATAATTGCAATGTAGTTTAAAAAATGAGAAGTGCCAAGGAGAAGTGGCAACTACTGAACAAGGTGACTATAAGCTATTTTGTTTTGCCTTTGAATGAACAAAATTATGTGAAAATGACACACACTTCCACTGAGTGATGTTGCCATAGATCAACTGACTAAAACTCTAGCTCTTAAAATAAAATGTCCAAGATAATTAGGTTTTGCTGTGTGTTGTTTCTCATTTTGCAAGACTTTAATTTACTGTAACTACATAATACATTTTAGTACCTTACGACTGCTTTCAATATTCTCAATGATGTTATCAATGATCCACTTTCCAGGCATGAAGTCCCTCTCATGAATGCATAGACGATAGGGGTTCGTGTTGTTCTCCAAACAGGGTAAGAGCTGGTGCCTCACCCAGTCAGCATCTGAGTGACTGTAGGATATGAAGGCATGGTAGGTAAAAGTTTCCAGATCACCAGCTCCTTTCTCCTTGTGAGCTCTGTATTTAGCCCTGATGATCTGGTATGTTGCTTTAGTGTACCATGGGAGGTCAAAAATATAGCAAATCAGCATAAGTATTAAGATCACTGCTGTGGTGGTTGCAACACAGATGATGATAACCAGTCTGATGTCACATGCTACATGACCCGGAAAGTATTTGGCTATGACTGTGTTGAGCAAAGCCTCCGGGTGGTAACACTTGTAGTTCTCAGGCCAGTTTGTGAGGTTTACCTTTCCTTTTGAAATCGTGTCCTGGATGAAAGCATGAAGCTCACATGTACAATGATAAGGATTGTTCCCTGCCTGAAGTTGAGACAACTGAGGCATATCTTCAAAGGATTTTTTGCTAATTAGGCCAAATGAATTCCCATCCAAAGCTAGTGATTGCAGTGATGCACTTTCCCATTTAGATGGGATGAATTTAATTTTATTCCCACTCAGTAGAAGGGTTTTGAGGTTGGTGGTTTTCTCAAAGTAGTTCATGTCCAGCTGGTCCAGATCACAGTAGGACAGATCCAAGTACTGTACTGTGGTTGGTAGACAACTGAGAGCTTCACCTACAAAGTTATTATGGTGAGCAATAAACTTGGTGATATTTTGTTTCCAGACACAATTTTGGCTATCTTTAGCAGATCCTAATTTGTTGTAGCTGAAATCCAAAACCTTTAGCTCCTGGAATTCTTTTGTGAGGGATGATAAGTCTTTTAAGCTGGTCAACTCATTGTTGCTTGTGTTGAATGTATGAAGATTCGGCATGGTGTTCTTGTAATCGCATCGCTGGTTGAATACAAACTCATTTTTTAGTCGATTATTGGAGACATCTAGTAATTCCACACCGTTCATCTCAACCCACGAATCACAGGGTGCAGAGTTGAAATACACATGTTGAATAGACAGTTGCTTAACTTTCTTGAACCAGGTGAAACGCCAATCAAATCGTAGCACATCAGGATTGCTGATGTACCTACAAGAAACAGAGATATTTAGTTTGCGTATTTTTATATGACCTTAGTAATGAGCTTCACATTCATGTAATTTCACTTTGTAACAAGGTATTGAATTATAACTATAACAAAATACTTGTCAAACCCACTATTTCATAGCATCATCTTCTTGTGCAGCTCTACCGTATTTAGTGCAGCTGCTGTTTTTGGATCATTAATTTAAAGCCCTGGTATGTTCCTTTATAGTCATGCCCTATGTTGCGCTGCACAACCTTGTGACTAAAATTGCTTGTTTAAGTATAACCATAATTTACAAGATGAAAATCACAAAATCACATTTTACGGTCCATTAGAATAGAATAGAATTCAACTTTATTGTCATTGCACATGTCACACGTACAAGGCAACGAAATGCAGTTTGCATTCATCCAGAAAGTGCTTAGTAATAAAATACATATATTACAAAAATGGGTCTATTATGGGTATGTTGCAATGTACACGGTATGAAGGTATGTTATGAATATGCTATAACTATAAGTATGTACAGGCTGTAGTGAGTGTACAAGCTATGTACAGGCTATGAACAGGATATAAATATGAAACTATACAGAAATATGAACTATACAAGTTATAAACAGTTGTAAACAGTTGTAGAACTATAGTTGTTATTGTACAGAATTATGCAGTAGTGCAGTTTAGATCAGTGAGATGTGTAAACTACTGTTAGAGCAATCTTGTAGGACACCAAAATACTCACCAAAGATCCAGTTTATCCAGTACAAGATCTGTGATGCTGGAACTTGCACCACTATCAACAAATGTTGGCGAACGGGCAAAGTCAATGTACTGAAGTCTTAATCTTTTGATGCTGGTTGCTTGTAAATTGATTAAAGCCATCCTTATAAGGTTCTCATTGAATTTTCCTCTGTGAAAGATGAGTTGCTTGGCTTTAATGTGTTTTAAACCCTGAAAAATGTCCTCCTGTCCCATGTAGTATGTGAATTCAAAGAGGTTACGAAATTGAATGACTGTGAATGTTTTGTTAGCTAGGTCCTGTAGCATATGAACAAGAGCATTTGGGTGTTGGTCTATAGCCATGTCAAAGCCCATCTGACTGGTCTGAATGACTTCTAAACTTCCAGGCTCATAGTAATGGAGGTGGGAGGAACATTTAATAGCAAATCCTTGGAGCTTAAGGTTCTTCAGGGGTTGGAAATCTTTTTTTTTTAGACCCATCACCAAAGGGCCGCCCATGGAGAGAACCTGGAGTCTGGAAAGTTTGGAGAAGCAGTCAGCCAAAGTTGCACTTATATAAAGGTTATTAGACATGTAGAGCTCTTTTAGATTAACGAGAGGTGTCAGAGCTCTGGCAGGAATTTCCTGCAGGGAGTTATTGAAGATGTCAAGATACTCCAAGAGTGTGTTGTTTCTGAAGGCATCATTGTCAATGTATGAAATGTTATTGTACTGAAGCTTGAGGATACGAAGCTTAGGGAGGTGGAAAAGGTCATCAGCATAAACATCTTGAAGTTTATTATAGGAGAGGTCTATTTCTTCAAGTGTAGGTGGAAATTGTCTCCATGGGATACTGTCAAGCTGTCTTCCCAGACAATCTGCAGATCGGTCAGAGTTGTAGATCTGACAGAGTCTTTCCTCAGTGTTGGTAGTGGGGAGTGAAGATGGAGTTGGGAGTGTGAGAGTTCCAAGAAAGAGACCACTGAAATGGATCAACTTCCAAATCATTGTTTTAGACCTGGAAATGAACAAGATCAGGCAAGATTATCAAAACATTTTATTGATTTTCGTAGACAGTAAATGCCAGATACACGTAATAGTTTGATTAACATTTCATTAAACATTAACATTAATGCTCATTCAGATTTTATTGTGTTTGAGTGCTCTTTTAGGCTCCCTGCTTTCCCTCAATCCCCTTTCCTGTATTTCTTAGACTTCTTCTGTACTTTAAAAAACCAAAAAAATCAATTTCATGGCTTCAGATCTCTTTGCAATTTTCCTTGTGTTCACTTAACTGAATTGAGGGCATAAAAAATCCAAGTAAACTGAATCCAAAAATTTTAGATGTGATTGAGTAGTAAGCATAACAGACAGACAGACAGACATACAGACATACAGACACACACACACACACACACACACACACACACACGTTTGTCCCCATAAGTGACTGTTGGTCCCGACAAGTACAGTGGCATGCCAATTTTTCTGTCCTCACAAAGACGTCTAAACATTTACACACACACATGCAACTATATAAATCAGAGAAAAATGTGTACTTTGGAAATTGCATTATCAATGTTGGGCAAAATTGTGACACGTAACAGTACACCACTTCTACAAAACAG